GTAGTTGAGTATTATATATAAAATAAACTGCATCTATTTTTGTTGAAAACCCTTGGGGAGGTTGTGCGTTGATGAGCAAAATTACGATGAAGGTAAAAGGCTTAACGAACATAATTTATAAAGTTAAACTCCAAAAGGCCATAAATTAAACGCCTGTTTGCATGTATTTCATTATTGCACGACCAAAAACAGAGATTGAGAAAGACTATAATTAATAAGTTGCAGTTAAAGAGTGAGTCAAGAAAGAAATCCTTCTTGACACTGCTTTTGTTTACATGTTTGGGAAGTAAGCATATCAAATTTTATCCAACTATTAAGAATAAATAACGACTTTTGCTCCATAATAAAACACAGACAATGCCATACAGTGTAAATGTCACCAGCCGCAATGAAAGTGTAGACGGATACGTTTTCTACAAATTGTCTAAAAGGAAATCACTTTATTCAATGGATTTTAAAATAGTTTAAAATGGTAATTTAAAATAATTTCTAATCGTATACATGCCACAGAGCTAATTGTATAAATAGCAGTGTATTTAGTTATAGCACCAATAAAAGCTACAGCTTGGGCCTGCTTGGCCAGAAGTTTAATAGGTCTTAGTTTGCCATCGCATAATTATTTCGGCTTGTGTTCACTCATAAACACCATTTACGGTTGCATGTAATTACGTATTTGAATGTTATTCATTTGCTGATTATAATCTTTTCCACAAGTCTTAGTTTATAGTATTCAAACAATTCTAACAAACCTCAATTGAATTGCAATTCGAATAAATCTCAACTCAATAATAAGAAGGCAAAAAGAGATTTTTCTTAAAAAACCGGTCCCAAATTTAATTTAAAAACGAATGCCACTAGACAATATAATTACATGCACTAATACTGATTAGCCACTACAATTTATGTCCTTATGGTATCGTCATATTACAATTGTTTGCTGCTCGTCTTTACGTTGAATGATTATTCATTAAAAATGCTGCTTTTTTCTCACTGCAGAGCAAAGATCTGCATTGGAGTTCGCTTTCAACGCTTTCAACAAATGCTTAGTCTACACGTTTTGTATATTTTTGTGTTCGTTTAACTTATATTTTATCAATGAATATGCATGACAGTTCTGTTGAGAATTCCCGCTTACACTCACATGCAAATTTGGCGCATAACTTTGCTAATACAATTACGCGTAACTACATTCCTACATACGCGTACTACGTAATTGAATTACAATTCGAATAAACCTCAATCTCAATCTCAATAATAAGAAGGCAAAAAGAGATTTTTCTCAAAAAACCGGTCCCAAATCTCATTAAAAACGAATGCCAGTAAAAACAATATAATTACCTGCACTAATACTGATTAGCCACTACAATTCTAGGTGGTTATGATATCATCATATTACAATGTTTTGCTGCTCGTCATTACGTTGAATGATTATTGTTTGAATAGCTGCTTTTGTCACTGCAGAGCAAAGGCATGCATGGGTTTTCGCTGACTTCACTTTCAACGCTTTCAACAAATGTTTAGTCTACACGTTTGGTATATATTTTGACCTATGAATATGCATGACTGTTCTGTTCAGAATTCACGCTCACACACGACATGCAAATTTGGCGCGTCGCGGACCTTTTTACGCGTAACTTTGCTAGTACAACTTAAAATCTTTTGTCTTTAATGAGAAAACACACAGCCCTCAAAGACTAGCATCACGAGTACCTAAAGTCAGAATGAAAAGAATTAAACTTATTAACATCAATTGCATTCTTACAGAAAAAAATGATAAATTGCGAAGATCTTATTGAAATACTACTTTTTGTCTTCAGGTGGTTGTTGTTTTACTTGTTTAAATTACCAGTCTTCACTCCTTCAAATTCTGCGCGTGCGCACAAGTACCATGACCATTCAACGTCCAACATCAGGGGCCGCGAGAGATGCTTACGTGAGGGACTCGTATTCAAATATTCGTGTTAACAGACCGTGAAAGTAATCAATTTAAAAGAATGCGAATAAGAGAAAACACGAAGATACAAATATTAGCCTTCCCTCTTTTATGTCATAATTATGTCAAAAGCACCTGCCTAAAGGTGAAGAGTAAAAAGAGAAATTACGGACGGAACTCTGGAGTTAAGTATTATGCTGTTTTCATAGCTTAAATAAGTAAAGTTAACGACGCGTTTGCGCATGCACCACGGCAGAATCCTTTATTCTGATTGAAAGACTAGATTTTTGCATGGAGTAAAAAGCCTCGGACTGATATTTTACAGAACAGACTTCACGCTGGGTCAATAATAATTTAATATTGGCTGACGGGCACAAAAAGTAATAACATGCACATGTAGTATTTAAATGAGGGAAACGCAAGAGTCTTTTCAAGTCGTCGAAATTAGCATTAGGTCCGGTACATAGAAATGCCTCAAAAACGGGTCATTAGATAGTACAGCAACTATCCTACTGACAATAATATTACATAGCTATGCGTTTCCTCATCACTAATATAAACACTCGGCGTATCCTGTCGTGAATGGAAATTGTTCACAAAATTATGAATGTTTCATTCCAGCCGATTTTTGATTGCACTGTCTTTATAGTCATTATCTCTACAGGGTGTCTACAAACTTTATTCACTGTGAAGTTGTGAACGTTGTGCCCTCGCGTTTTAATTATTGCAAGCTGAAAGCAAAATTAGTAATAAGATTTGTATTAATAAATGAATCAGCGTTTTTTTTTTATTAGTTTCATGTTGCAAGTATTTCATAGCCGGAAGGTAGCAACTATTTAATTTGTATCGAGACAATTCACTTGCAATTTCCAAAATATCTGATACCGGTCGGAAATACAATGTCTTTAAAAACAGTTTTTAGGCATGTTCATGTCAATTTCATTGATTTATTTAAAAATTAATAGCAATAAAAATAAGAGGAAATTTGTACCTCACTCAGCCTTCAGATTTACAGATGTCAATTAATGAGTTTGGGGGTGGAAAGAAAAGCTTGAAGGAAAGCTATCAAGGAGTCATCTTATTTCTAGCATGAAGCAAATCATACTTATAAGAAAGTTATGATAATCAGAAAAACTCTACGCGGAAAAAGGCAATGCGTGGAAAGGTTGGGAGCACAAAGAAAAGTAAAACTGATGATGCATGAAAGATTAGAGGAGTACACCAAGACGATTGGCTCTTCAAGGTGATAACAAGGAGTTCTCAGTGCTGGGTGGAATGAGCACGACAAGTTTAAATATTTTAAATATTTTGCATATTTAAAAACTGGTATTTTCAATATCTTCAAACTTTTGGGTTTAGCAACCACTGGCAGCGAAGGTTTATATCCCTTAAGGCCGTGAAATCTTTCTATTCTGTCTCTCCGCAGATTGCAAGATAAGCAAGTATCTTTCCAATCATTGGAACGATAGGCGTCAATCGAACGTTAGTTGAGGGGGCCATGCATATTCATATATTCTGTTATGACAGCCGATTTATATTGAAGTGAAATTGTTTTAAAACAAATTAGCCAGGCATAGCAGAATATATGAATATGGGCCCCCTCAATTAACGTGAAACCCACGGATGCTCACCCAAAAAAAATTGCACCATACATTTATCATTTATATAGACCTGGAGTGAGGAAGATTCGGCGAAATATTTCCCGAAGTGATGATATTTTCCCAGGGATTCGCCTGAGGGAAATAGTTAGGCGAATCTTCCAAGCGGAGGTCTATAAATGATATATTATACCGTAAAAATATTGTGAGCTTGTAGAAGGGGAAAAAATACAGTGCAAAGGTTCGCCGGAGAATTTAATATTTCTATATTCTATAAATCAGTAAAGAAATACTCGAAGAAGGCGTGAAATATTTTGGTATTCACATATTTACTAATCCCCTCCTTCATTTCCTATGTTTATCACTAGGCCTCTTCTGTTACCATTCTGCTCTTATCCGACTTACAATCCTTTTTTATTTTGCTCCCCCATCCTCATTCTCCATTATTTTTTTTTCTTTTCTTCTCCTCCGTCTTTATAACCGAACCTTCTCTTTTCTTTCATCTTTCTTTTGGCTTTCATTTCATAGATCATTTCACTTCGCTGTTTCTATCCCTCTCCATTCCTTATTTCTACACTGGGATTATACACTTTTCCGTATTTTAATACTGGACTAAAAAGTACAATCATTTTGACTGAAAAAAGTTCAAAGGCAGACCTCGAGCAGACGATCAGACCAAAGTCATGAACCTTGAGGAAACTTTCCGGGAATAGATTTCGTGATTCCCCTTATTGTTAGAAAAAACTGTTAAAACTCCCGGTTTACATTTGATATTTTATTTAACAGGCTTCATACACGCCTCAATTACATTCATACGTCGAACGAAGCTACGTTGATACGGTTCAAAACTATAAACAAATGACGTAAACAGTACAGAACAAAGTCGACCAAATAAGTGCATGCATTCATAAATCACGTGTCTCCTAGCTCTACTTTATACCGTGTCCGATTTGCCGATGCATGTTCTTAAATACTATTGGCATAACCAATGAACAGTAAAGCGCATTTACACATATCAACAAGGGGTGAATCCTGAAGAGCCGACGAATTGTGAAAAATTCAGCTAAAAAATCTCTTTTTGATAAAGCTAAAAAGAAATGAATGGAAATAATTAGGATTTGCAAAAGCTACAGGATATAAGTGCGAATAGTTTTTTCTTGCGAAATTACACTTCACACATTTTAAAAACACGCAAATCTGATATCTTAAGTTAAATTGAGTTTCATGCCCAATTTAAAGGCAACGCGTGAAGGGCAATTAAGTTGACGGATATACGCCGTGGTTTTGGACAATTTAATTTGTTTTGCAATTCTAAAAGAAATATTTTAAATTAAAAATGATATGATTTGGTAAATTGAAATATACGCGCCGCTATCGCTAAGCAACGAGGTAAATTTTTAATGACAATAATCTGCCCCTACTTATTAAAACATTTTCTAACTGCTGTTTATTTGTGTTCGTATCGAAGCTTGTTGATGAAATAAAGCAAGGTGAGAGAAAGGAAACGAATTTAGTCATTATTTTCGATTACATTATTCCAGAAGTTTCTCAGTACTTACGTTTCGCCCTTTTGTTCTTACTCGATGTCATGTGAAATTGAAACTCGGCTATGATTCATCTGGTGATGAAATACATCATTCTGGTGTTGAAATTAGTTCTCAAATACATCTTTGAAAAAAGGTATCGAATTTTATCCCAATTTTTAGCCAGTTTTGGTCTAATTCTAAGAGCCATGTTCAATATTAAGCGGTATTGCGAAGCAGGAATTGCAAAAGTAGGAGCAGCCGGAGGTATCTATGTATTTTTTATTAGTATTTTTTCTCGTACACGAAAAAATCTCTATGCATGATGAATGTCGAAACTTCGTAAAGATCTGAAGGGAAGAAGCTCTCTTGAGAAATGAAAATTAGACTACTTACATTGGCAAAACTAAGCGGGAATTTTTAAACTTCGTAATCCAAAATAAATATGAATCTTTACAACGGTTCGTAAAAAACCGTAACATTTAAAACATCAAACAGAGAAGCTGGGGTTGCGCCTTTAACCTAAGACATCTTCAAGACAAGGGCAAGTGACAAAGATAAAAAGGCCTACATTTTAATAAATTTACAGCTGTTTGCAAGATGTATTGTGCGAGTGGAGCGTTGAAGAAATCAGAATAATTGAGGATACAAGCGGAGTTACCTAGTTTGTTAAGAAAGGTTTAACATTTAGTCGGGAGAATTATAGCCTCTTTCAAATCAGACGTTTTTCTAGAGAGAAACAATATTTGAGTTCTCAAGCAAGAAGTATGGCAGTAATACTTCAGCCAACTTTCCGCTTCTCTCAAATGTTCTCTAACTCAAAAAGAAAGGCTTAAAGATCCCGAATCAGTGTATACTTTCAAGTGCTTTTTCTGTCCCGCATTGTACCTGCATAGGCCAAACAGCCACTCATCTGCATTCAAAAGGATCTGCGATACTTGTTTTGTTCCTGTTCGCTTTTCCTCCTGTCTTTTTCTAAACGAATTTATTTATTCGTGTCTCATTGCTTAATTTAATACCTGTCTAAAACATTGCAAGGTAATTCCGTCCCCTTTCTACTCTGATTCCATTTACCACAGGTGGTAATACAATATCTTATAAGCAGTTGCAGTTATTTTATTGCCGTGAAATGCCCAAAGCAAAACTGAGCAAAGTTTGCATTGGTTTCCGACATGTTTTGTAAAATGTTAATGAGTATAAGTATCGTCAATACTTAATGTATTGACAAAATGATTGCATACTACTTTGGATCGAGAAAAGCTTTGCTGAAAAAAGCGTTGCTTAAACTCATATAGCTACCTGCGCCATATTAGTTTATTCCAACGCCATTACTGATTTCTCTCAACCGCGTCATCATAATTAATTACCCCATGCAGTGCGGTTGCTATGAATGTCAGTAATTATTATGCTTATGAAGATTATAGTACTGTCATATTATTTTGACTTTGGGTGTTTTTTTTTATTTTCGCGTGCATATGAATAGGCTATAGCTGTAGCTGTAGCAAGTCAAAATAGCACGCAGAAGGTGGAATACCAGTCTTTTGTAAATGCGTCTGGGAGACTGACGTTGATTGATGTCGATAATGATTCATGATTCTTTTAAAGCAGATATTAAGCAGATAAGTCAAATGCGCATGTATCAGAACAGGTACAACAAAAAGCAATAAAAAATATTACTAATATTTCTGACAGGCACAAAATATAATGAAAGAGTTATATTGTGGTCGTCAAATTTACAATTAAAGCATATTCAATGGAGTAGCCGATATTCATAACTTTGTTATGTCAGCGCGGCTCGTTGAAATGTCTCAAAAACGCACGCTCCTTAAAATGTATAGTACAGCGTCCTATATGTTGCATAAAATATTTAGTATACATTTCATCATTAACAAAACTCTCTGCGGGACAGTTTGTGGTTGAAATTTCCATGCAAAAGCCATTTAAAACTAGCGGGAGGTTTGGCTGCAGCAGATGGGCTGGAAAATAATATATTGTATTGATGCCGACCTATCAGGAAATGAAAAATTAGATATCCTCTTATTTGAAAGGAATATCGGCTATAGCATTTATGGTACACTTTCCTAGTGTATATATACTATCAAATACAGATATGTATTATATTTATGTATTATCACTCCACGTGTTTACGTGTCTATGTACTTTACGTCATGATGTGTTTAAAATTGATGAATAAAAGCTAGTAAGTGCTTTTATTTTATTCTAATTGCATCGCTGATATAATTTTCTAAAAGCTGTTGAATTTAGCCAGAGCTGTAAATTCAGTGTGTACGTAGTAGCTATATGCTCGGGTTCGCAAATTAGATGCAAATAAGTCACAAGTCAAAGAATAATGATTCTTTGCGCGTTCAGAGTTTAAGGTTTGTCTGTATATTCATAATTTTACATATATTTTTAATCATTTTGAGTAATGGAAGTTTGTTTGCAGCATGGAAGTATAAAGAGAGGAGAGCCAACTTATTATCGTAACCCAGAGTATACAGTTAGTAAAAACATAGCTTCTGTATATGAGACGTTTCAGTCTCATTAGTGCATGTTTCTTGACGGCGAAACTAGGGCGATAAATTTTTAGGTAGGTATATGTATGTGCATGTGTGTGAATATTCATATTACTGTTTAGCTATTTTTGCCATGTACGTTCAACAGAAATTTGTCGGGCAGAACGAATATATGAATACGCACCCCCACAAATTATCGAAAATGCGTCTACAGCATGCTTAATAAAAAAAATCATTTTATTTTAAAAGGATTTTGATTATTTAAAACATCGTGATTTTTGTCTTGGTTCATGCACACAATGTTTAGCGTGTTAGGAAGCACGTTTAACTCTAAGGAAATGGTCTGTCTTGGTGATGTACTGTCGCGTCTGTGTCGTGTATTCTGTTAAATATACCGCATGTTGCGTAGAGAGACCAACTGGTCCATACTTTTTAGGCCAGCAGGGAATTATGTTGTATGGATCAATCTTTTCATTTCTCATGTTATGCATCCAGCTTGCTGCAATACATGCCTCCAGTGATCCGCTGAGTTATAAGGCCTTGTTTTCCACTGCAACCGTATCCTAGCGAAGCGCAGCGTATATTCCTTTTTTTTAAAAGCTTTATAGTTCTATCCAGTAAGTATCTACCTAAAATGAACAAGTTTTGTGATTGGCTTTTTGTAAGAATTTAAGATTCGTTCTTTCAGAAATCAACTTCTATCGTTCATTGTGTTTTGTTGTTATCATGCATCAACCAAAATAGCAACTGAGTTTGTTATAAGTACGTACCGACCCGTTGGCTATCCGAGTGCCAAGAAGTGGAAAACAGTCTTATGTTTATAAGACTGAACTTGTTATCGAATATTTCACAGTCGGTGTATGTAATGTAGTAACTATGACACAGTTTGCCTTGCCATACAGGCCTGTGCTTATATAGCTAATTGTCGTGACTGGTTTGATGTATATTTTTTTCATTCACAGGTTAACAAATAAAAGACAATGCAAATCTCTGGTTATGTATACTTCTCTCCTCCATACTTTTGAAAGGAACACATTCAGAGATGGGTGCTTTGATTTGTTACAATTCTACTCTTGAAGGTATAAAACCTATGCCAAGATCTTAAGATTATTGGATTGATGGATTATTTTCAATATTTTTTCTAAAAGCTATAGCTAATTATTCGCAATTTGAGTCGAATATACATAGCACAAGTTTTAAGCATTTTTGACGTGTATCTGACATTGTATACGACACTTTGGGCTAACAATAAGATGACTGAAGTTGCCGGATTTGAGCGGCCTGTGCAACCTGTTAAATTTGAAATAGTCAACGAGAGGCTGCTCACATCTTTATTATAGGTGTATGCATTGACAGCCGTTTCAACTGTTTTTACTTTAACCAAGGTAGTAGGGAAAGTAGTGTGGATTAAGTTCCCGTAATTTGTTGAGCCATCGGGTCGTCCTTGACTTGTTCACTGAGATAAAACTTGAATTGGTGCAAATTTTTTCCAGGGGATAGCTTATCAAGGCCGGTTCATACAATGGGGGTTCATATATTCATCTTATGCCCGACTGATTTCTTTTGTTAGCTATTGTTTCGAATATGGATATAAATATGCACCCATCAATTAAGGTTCTAGCGATGGCCCTGAGCTTTATAGATATAGACAGACAATTGAGTAGCTACGTTTTTTAAAGAATATTTGTTCAAATAAAACTTATAACAAATATTGTACGGCTTTCAACATTGTAGGTACCAGGCTTAAATATTCAGTTATAAAAAGTAAGTTCGTTCAGGGCGAGATGATTGATTGCCTTATGGAATGTGTCACTGAGCCATGTTGCAGATCAATCAACTACAAAAACAATTGGATGTTTGAAAACGAAACAAATTGCGAAATGTTGCACAATATGGTCTACACTGCATCAAAGAAAATGCTGGAGAAAAACTCCTCTTATGATCATGCATATCTCATTAATCCAGCAAAGGTAAGGTTGGTTGTAGAATCGAGACAGGATATCTTAAAAGTTATTCTTCTAGCCGCTAAAATTTTCCATTGCGGAAGTCATATAGAATGAAGGAAATGATAATTCAATTTTGTCGATGATCTGACTTAATATAATCTGATCTGTTGCTTTTTATACTCGCATAAGCTGGATAGCGACGTTATGTAGTTATGCAAAACTCATAATGAAGATGCTAGAATAATTAGCAGGAACGGTATAAAAGCCAGTTTTATTAAAGCACTCAGTCTTGTCAGTCCAGCGGACCAGCAAGTGCGCTAACTTTTTTTAATTGACGAGCGCCCCCCCACGTACTAGTACGACCTAATTTTTGTTCCCTAACCGGATCTGGGCCTGTGATCAATATGTCGCAATCCTGCAATGATGAGTGGCACGAAGCAGTACACCATTAAACCAATCAAATTTACTATATTATTTTTGAGCAATCTGATTGGTCAATGAAACAGGAAGTTATAGGAACTTTTTAAGGAACTTTCAAATTGTTGAGGAATTGTTCAGATGTGTTCCTTCGAGTTAGGAAATGAATTGGCCAACATTTTTCGGTCAATTGGTCAACGCATCTATTGGCACGACTGTAAATCGCTGTATAACTTCGATTATAATCTTAGTATTCCTAAATTAAGATTCCTGAAATTTTATTGCTCTTCAAGCATTTTGATAACGGTTGAAGAAATTACTATTCAATGGATAGCGCTATCAAGCTTCCATACAACTGGCCCCTGTTGTGTAAAATATAAGGAGCACTGGTGAGCGTGATTGAGCGTGTCACCCATTAGAAAGGCTGTTTGAGGAATTAATTTACTCGATTTTTTAAATTTCTTTAATGAATATATTTTCTTTTCTTCTGTAGGTGTTTAATAAAAGTTGTATGCCAGGTGGGGAACTTATCTTATTTTACTCTTTAACTTTGATATTTAAACTCAGGACTAGGATTTAAGATTAAGAAATAATTTGGGATCAGGAAACGGTTATTGCAAACTACGGTTCCGTGGTTTTGGGGGCATATTATATTTAAGGTTATATTAATGGTGGTGATGGTGCAAGAACAGCACGCATCGAGAACTGGAATCGAGAACTGGAATCGAGAGCTCCGGAATAAAATGAACCGGAATATTATTTCTTCTCGTTAAAAATGTGAAACTTGGAAAAAAAGAACTATTCACAGGAAATCTTGAAGAATTTATTTTTTCAAGTTAAACACGCGCTGACGGTTTGGAAACTACCCCGTCATAATAAACCTTATGCATAATGACGTAACAAGTTGTGACACCTGCAGGAAATTCTGGTCTTAGTAGTCACGGCGGGGAATTTTAAAGTTTGAATTTTTGCCGTGACTACTAAAACCAGAATTCCCTGCAGGCGCCACGGCTTGCTACGTCATTATACACAAGGTCTATTTTAATTTTTGCCGTGACTACGAAAACCAGAATTCCCTGCAGGCGTCACGGCTTGCTACGTCATTATGCACAAGGTCTGTGAATCGAGATCAGTAGCGTAGTCAGTTATGTTGTCCCGCTACGTAAATTTTGAGTTATCATAATTATATATCCATGTCTGTAGACATTTATTTTTTTACACTTCTTTTATTGAATCGTTGCTATTTAATGTCATTCTAGAAATTGACGAGTGTGCGCTGGGAACTCACAAATGTCACTCGAACGCAATCTGCAATAACACTATTGGCTCCTACGAATGTCACTGTCGCAGAGGTTTTGCAGGAAATGGGAAAATATGTTCAGGCAAGATTATTTTACACTATATTAACGTAATTTAGCATCAAATGTGGCATTTAACAATTGCCTAAAATAGACAAAAACACTTCTCGACGTTTCGACCTGTCAGTTGTCAAAGTGGATATATATTGGAAATGAGGATACATGCTCAGGCAAGATTATTTTACAGCATAGATGAACATAATGTACTTTTATCTAGAAAATGGCGTGATATTTATTTTAACGACGAGAATTTCCTTCAGTGTTATTGTTAGCCTTGCCGCCACAGGTTCTAGAAATATCGTTGGACACACCAGTATTAATCACGAGTTTACTTCAACACTTTACTTTTATTATATGAACAATACGCTAGTGATCTGCATTTCTATAGTATCAGACTTCGACTGTCCCTTTTTTTATCATATCTCTATAAACACCTGCGTACGTGTTATATGATACCTGTCTGGAGTGTTCGGTCACAGTTTCACCGAGTCTGTCAAATATATGGCTAATTAAGTCTACTATGGTTAATTAATGCGGCTTACATTATATTTATAGTTCATGAACTTGATTCTCACATATTGTCAGCCGAGTCCCCAGAGTTTACAAGACTATTGGGAGAATGGTTGCCAGAGACAGGGAATTGGAGCGTCTGCTGGCGGATAACTAGAGACGGGAATAAAAGCGCGACTTTTCAACAGAAATGCAAATCTAAAGTTCCAACACTGACAGTTGTAAAAGTTCTTAAAGATAATAAGTCTTTTATATTTGGTGGATATGCAGCAGCTAGCTGGACGGGAAATATGGGTGGTGTTAATGCTCCAGGTTCATTTTTGTTTTCATTTCGAAACAACGGCGACCTTCCCCCGTTTAAGTCACATTGCAAAGAGGCCAAATGCAAAGATGCAGTACTTCGTAACCCAGAATCTGGTCCTAAATTTGGGACTGGTCCAGATTTTTCGATTTCCGACGGATCACTTTTCCAACCAAAAGGTGGTGAAGGGAATGCCGCAATTTTTGGTGTCAGCTATAAGCCACCGTCTGGATACGCAGACAACACAAGAGAAACACAATCGCTGCTTACAGGAAGCTACATTTATTTTACTCCGTCAGAAGTTGAGGTATTATATTTGAACTAATCCAATCTATTCGTATATTGAAAACATAAACAACAATATAGAATATAAAAGTTGTACTGCAAGCGTAACAAATTTCACGTTTCAAAGAGATGTAACAAACTTTAGAAATAAGCAAAGATGTAAGCCTTTCACGAACACGAGTAGGATGCGCTTATATCATTCGTATATATTGCGAAAACATTTATACGTATAATAGACCTTATGCATAATGACGTCAGAAGTGGTGATGCTTGCTGGGAATTCTGGTCTTATTTGTCACTGCAGGAAACGTTTTGTTTCGAAAGTTTTTCGCCCTGACTACCAATCGCGCTTTGTAACGTCATTATTATATTAAGAATTATAACTTTAATTTAGAAGCAATCGCTAAGGGTGAGTACAAGTGATCCTTTTGCGCACTTTTGCTTATACTCTCACAACTGCGCATGCTTTCCAATTTTCATTAATCAAGTTTAGACAGACAATGCCAGTGATTGTAAAGTTTCCAATCTTGAGGGGCGTTGAGTGCGCAATGGATCACTCGCATGACACGTGTCTTTCCTCTCGCTCGTCCAGCCAGTAAATTTAGTTGTAAGTTAACTACCTTTTATACACTCGGCCCGGGTGTTAGTAATATTGTGCATGATTTAATTTTAAAGAAAATGTAGAAATAGACAGGTGTTGCGAAGTAGGCATTTTTTATATAAATGTTCACAGTGCATGAAGTGTACATTTTGCACGGCAACTGGCGTCCAGTATGGGGATCGTACGCCACAGCACATTTCAACAAACTTCTCTCATTTCAGCAAACTATCTAACCTACTATCTGTGATATTCATGATTTAGTAATTCTAAATATTTGCCTAGGTATTTAATTTCGCGTTTTTTATTCGCTCGACTTTAATTTCGCAATTTCAATCCCATAAGTACGAAAAAGATGTATTTAGGCCATCGTTTATTATAGGTAATTATAGTTACCAAAGTCGTCCAGACGGTGCATGCCAAATATAGTGTATTAATTTTAATGAATTGATTATTTGATGTCGTATATAGACATGATGCAGTTACCCGATCATCCGAGCCAGAGGCATGACTTACTACACATTATATGCTACATATATATATACACTGTTTCAAATGTAACATTCTGTTAATGACGATGCAGATTTAGTTTGAAGAATAAAATTAAAGATTGTTCAAGCATATCTTGGAGTGTTTGTATTGATGCTAGTTCTAACAGTTCTTCATAGGTGATATATTAATTGTTACCCAAGTTCATTATCATCATCGTAGCCATGCATTTGCTTTTTCAATTTTCTGGCACAATGTTTTGTTCACTCAAATAAGTTGAGAACATTGTTCCATGTTAGGTTAAACATACGCTTTGTACAAATTTGTCGTCGCAACCATCCTCTTTAGGCGTCCTAGGACTGCAATCATTGGATAAAATTTCTTTAGTATCTCGTCAATGTTCCTATTCAGTGTAACTCCATGCACGTTTTCTCAACGATTGATGAAAAATGAAGTGTCATTTTTTTCTTTAAAAGCAAGATATAAGCAATATTTGACGTTATTTTTTTAACCATGTACATAAAGCGATCTGATTGGCTGAGTGAAGCGTTTCACAGCGGTCCGAAATTTTGCATCCGACCCGCTGTGAAAAATATGAACAAAAAAACAAAACCAAAGCAACGTACGGCTAAAATGTGTGAAAACCTTTCTGTGTATATATATATATATATATATATATATATATATATATATATATATATATATATATATATATATATAGGCAAAAATGTTCTCCGTGTTTACTATACTCACCCTTGACGGGCATATTCAAACCTAAGAATGTAAATTTGTCCCTTTCCCTCACCAGCTCACTCGTTAAGAGTGCCTAGGCCTTGGGACCCTAGGAGGCGGTTTAAAAGGAGAAAGGAACACACACACAGCCCAAGCTATACGTCCATCCAAAGCGTTCATCGGCTTGAATGTGAGAGATCGATTTCACGTATTTATCAGTGCGAATGTACATTCTTAACATATCAAATGTCCAAGTGCCACACAACTCATCTCATCGTCGTCATGAACATTCTTACAATGCAGGAAATAAGTATAGTTAAAAATACGTAGGTATATTCCGCGCCAAGTACTTTTGGTTATTAGGAACCTACGCCTACAATACTCTGTAGGATTCTAATAACCAAAAGTACTTGGCGCGGAATATACCTACGTATTTTTAACTATACTTATTTCCTGCATTGTAAGAATGTTCATGACGACGATGAGATGAGTTGTGTGGCACTTGGACATTTGATATGTTAAGAATGTACATTCGCACTGATAAATACGTGAAATCGATCTCTCACATTCAAGCCGATGAACGCTTTGGATGGACGTATAGCTTGGGCTGTGTGTGTGTTCCTTTCTCCTTTTAAACCGCCTCCTAGGGTCCCAAGGCCTAGGCACTCTTAACGAGTGAGCTGGTGAGGGAAAGGGACAAATTTACATTCATATATATATATATATCCACCCATTTGCAAAAACGTTGGCCGTTAATAGATATATAGATAGATACTCGAAATCTAATTAGAATTGCATATGTTGTGTAATATGATTGAAATCCCATGCACATGTAATCATATGCAATTCTAATTCGACTTCGAGTATCTATCTATCTATCTATCTGCGGCAAACGTTTTTCCAAATGGGTGTATATATATATATATATATATATATATATATATATATATATATATATATATATATATAACAATATAAACAATTCGAAGGCCATGCATGCATGGATAGTGCATCCATTCATGCATAGTTGTAAGTGCGATATTTTTAACCATGCACCAATCAAGAAATTTTGCTATATTAGATATTAGATAATTAGAAAACTGGCCATAGTCTGCATCACGGGACAATCGATCAAACCTTTTAAACCACCAGACCTAAGATATACCTTCCTACCTAGGCTAGGATAGAAAATTTTTCAGGTTGTATTCCCGAAATATACATATTGCATTATGCACCGACAACAAAGCGCATATCCTGAAGACGGTAGATTTATCAAAATCTACAACAGCTTTAAAAAGATCATATTTCATTATTAAACAAGGAAAAAAGAATGTATGAAAAATTGACTAGCTCCTCGAAACTGTAATGATTTGCTGATTTTAGCTAATTCGCAAGAGGTATTAAAGGAATGTAATTAAGCTGAACTAATTCAAACTACGATTTATTTTAATTATTTTCGTGATATGCAGGGGCGCCAACAGTTCGATAATTGGGAGAGGGTATAGATATTGATATATTAGTTTCTGCAAATTGGCCATGAATTTAGTCATGCATGAGAATTATACTCTCATGAATAAGAAGTTTGTCTAGAGAAAAGCAGGAAGAAATAACTTTAGACTTTGCAAGAAAAGTAGTATGGCCAGTACTTTTTTTCGACAAATTTCACGCTTGTCTTAGCTGTTCAGCTTCGAAAAAAAAATTTCAAAGCCCTTAAGATCGCTTGTAGTATATTCTATATTGCATTTAGCTGTGTATATATAGACATACATATACAAGAATATTCATATATTAATTTCTGCAACGACTGTGTTACTTAGTGTTATTTTTCTTGCAGCTTGCAACCTAATCTCACTTGTGAATTTTGCAGCTATATATGCGATCAAAACCTTTGCGCTTTCTACAATCGACGGATGTTTTCTCATGCATTTGGAAAACATGCAACTTAGATACATTAGATACATACATACGAGAATTCATTGATGTTGTTTCTATCGGAAGTGTGCGTGATCATAATTATACCGTGTACGATTACATGATGCGGAAAGAAGGCCCAAAATACTGTGAAAAAAATATGTCGTCTTATTTGAAAAGTATTAGCCTATCTTAATTTTTACCATGGATGGTTTTTGTACCCATTTAATATTTAGAGTGTTTAAGGAAAATTAAATGGTTACGCAACAAGGTTAACCGTGGTGGCGAGAAGTAAAGCAATTGTGTGGCGCATCTATATCCAAGAACAAAGATCTAAAAGATCGTCTCCATCAAGATGTAAGTCTGGAGGCTGACAAATGCCTTAGTAACAAAATCAATACTGCTTTCACGTTATGCAGAACTATGTTCCGTTGTCCGAAGATATTTCCGTGCGTGACTATGAATAGTGACGAATCGCCTATAACTGTGTCTGAGGCAACTACTGTATAGCAAAAAAACTGGGTGAGGTTAATACATAGCGTTCTAGTGGCCCTGACGATATCTCAAATTGGGTTTTAAAAAACTTTTGTGACATCTTGCCTCACCAATTGCGGATATTATAAATGCATCCTTTGAAAGTTGTAAAATCCTCCAAATTTAGAAGTCGGCTTACGTTGTCTCTATACCAAAAGTAACCATTGTCCACGATTTACCTCTCCCTATAACGTCAGCTTTATCGAAAATAGCAGAAACCGCTGTGATTGAAAGAGAAGTTAAACCAACTTTGTTAAGAGTCGTTGATCCCCAAAAGTTCGGTTTCACCCCTATTTCTTATACAGTGTTTGCCCTGATATCTATGTTCCATTGTTGGTCGAGTTCAACTGATGGCACTGGCTCGTTTATTTGGGCTGTCTTTCTAGATTACAAGAGTGCGTTCGACCTGGTCGACCACATCACATGCAATAATTGTAAAATTGTTTAGTCAGGGCATCAAACCTAGTGTAGTAAACTGGATCACGGACTTCCTGCGTAATAGATGGCAAAGGGTGAAGTTAAATGAAAACTGTTTCTCTGATTGGTTATAGCAGTTCCAGCTGGTGTCCCCAAAGGCACTCGACTTGGCCCCTGGTTGTTTTTGGCTATGATAAACGATCTTGTTCTACCTGAACACACTTACAAAACGTGGAAATTCGCCGACGACACTGCGGTTTCCGAAGTCGTTAAAAAGTCTGACTATAGCTTTCTTCAATCGGACATTGATCATATTTCTACTTGGTCAAGAAATAATCTCTTCCAACTTAACCCAATTAAATGCAAAGAAATGATGATATCCTTTGCACAACCACCACCTGTTTATGAACCAATTCGTATAAACGATCAAAATGTGCAAAGGGTAACAACTGTTAAATCGCTTGGAGTTCTATTAAGAAATGATCTTAAGTGGAAGGATCATGTTAATTCAATAATTTCGAAAGCTGCGTTTATATTTATTGAGGCAACTCAAAGCGCTGATGTGGCTTTGGGAGACTTAGTCAAATTTTATTGTAGCTGCATTCGCTCTGTTCTTGAATATGCATGCCAATTATTTCATAGTTCCTTGCCACAATATCTTGCAAAAGACATTGAACGTATACAAAAGAGAGCATTGAGGACAAGATATCCTGACCTGTCCTATAATGATGCTCTTTTCAAAGCTGGTATCTCCACCATGGAAAATAGACGTGAATACTTGTCCGATAAACTCTTCAATGATATTGTATCAAATGCGGACCACTAGCTTGCCAAACTTCTACCATCGAAAGCAGGCAATAGAAAATTACGGAAAGAAAGAACTTTCCAAGTCCCACCTGCGAATCGCTTTGGGAAATCTTTTATAAGTTATTATGCTAAAACATTATAAGGAAACTTAGACATTTTGATTTTTTAAATAGTATATTATAGAAATTATAGATAATAGTATATAATTACCGCGGGATCGAGGCTCGCGGTCTTGGCCCCTCAGCCTCGTTTTCGTGTTATGGCCTATTTCCACATTTATTGATAAAATTAAAAAAAAATCATGCATGTGTTGGTAAAGGATGTCTTGCATCTTTGCACGTGGCCCGAGTGAAACTAGAAATCCATCTAATATAAAGTGGTTCTAAATTTAAAACGTCGTGATGTTAAAATGTTGTGACGTCTATTAAATTACAAAGAACTGAATTAATTTTCCACCCTTCTGAAAGATGGAATCCAACATAAAGGAATTAACTTGATTATTATTCCATAGAGCAGCACATAAACTCTTCAATACAATAAAGTAAATTACATGCTGATCTGTATAAACCAGTGATGTAGTAACCAGGGCGACCACAAGAAACTATTCCATTTACATAAGCGTCAAAACGATCCCACA